AAATTAATGGCCTGCCGTGTGGTTTGGTAACATCGGGACTGTGCCTTTTTACTTGTCAACCTTGGGCTTCTCAGCCTCAGCAGCCAGCAGCGGTCTGAGTGAAGAAATGCCTCTAGCTCCAGTGGGCTGGGAAAAAGAGGCAGAGCTGGACCCCAAAGTTGAGGGGCTTTAACCTACCCCCTAGGACTTGGCACTTTGAACTTAGACTTAAAGCGTCCAAATTTTAAGAATAAACTCCTGTTTGTTTAAGCCATTCCACTTGTGGTATATTTTTGTCAGAGCGGCACTAGGTAACCAGAACACTAAGGAAAGACTAGTAACTAAAATGTTAAATTTTGTTATTTTGGGCTTTAATTGTATCTTACATTTGTTCAGAAGATATGACGTGCAATTACAGATTGCCAGTATTTCAGAGGATAAATAAATTATTAAATAAAGGTCAACTGGTAAATCTTTCAACAATTGATTTTAAAAGAAAATAAGGTATTAAGAATTGATATGTGATTTGTGGAAATTCTTAAGACCAACTGATCCAGTAAAACTGGGAAAGAGGTAGACACTCTAAAATGACAATCAGTGTTAACACACAATATTTGAATACTCACTCTGACAATAAAACTATTACTACTAAAAACACTCTAGAAAAGTTGTAATAAAGTCTCTTTGTAAAACTAAAGTTCATACCTTGCTCTTCATAGCAGAAGAATATGGGCCTAAAAACAATCCAGGTAAAATTTCCTAGGGTGGGAAAAAAAAAAAAAAAGAGAGAGATTTATTATCAGTAAATTAAATCTACACAGTATATACATATCATAAAACTTAATTTGTGTAGTGTTTTAACAGTTGTGAAAATAATTTGCTTAAAAGCTTATTATTTAGGCAGTATTTCCTATCCATATTGAGCAAAGGATTGGAAAAAAAATACAGATGTGTTTTATAGTATAAAATGAGACATTCAAAGTTTAATATAGTTCTGAAAAGTCATGCCCATAGTGCTTCTGATAAGCAGTTTGAGAAGAACGAGGACACTGTATTGTTGCCTTTTAGAATAATAAAACTTCTTTAAATTTTATTTCTGTTCCATACTATAGTCTAGAAAAAAAATAGGCACAAAGAAAATCAATTTGTTGGAATTATACAAAAACTTATTCAACCAAATCATGAACAGCAAAAGACACAACAGGATTAAAATTAATTATAATTAATAGGAGTAATATTATAATCACAGAAAAACAAGACCAGTATCAAATTACTGCCTTATGACAGAGTTTTAACAATTTAAATAATTATCTTCTGAATGCTGAATGCAAATTTATTCTATGTAAATGTAATACAGAAAGCTTTCAGTCTGGCTATATCATATCCTAGGAGCTCTAGTAGCGTAGTGCCTAAGGCACTTGACTGCTAACCAGAAAGCTGGCAGTTCAAACCCACCAGCCACTCCTCGGAAGGAAGGTTGGGAAATCTACTTCCATAGTGATACCACCTCAGAAACCCAAGGAGGGGTCGCTATTTGTCGGGTCCGACTCTACGGCACACAACGACAACAACAGGGACTTCTATATGCTATCATAATTATTTTGAGAATAGGTCTGATTTCTACCAGTTTCTTATGGGAATTACGTCTTACTTATATTTACACTCACCACAACACCTAAAAAATTCCTCACTGGTTGTCACATATTTAAAAACAATGAATTTTCACAAGGAGAAAGGAAACAGATTTTTAGAAGTCAAAGGATTCCCAGGAATGGGATACACTGCATAATCCTGGGGCTAGAATTATATGATAAATGGCATTAAATGCAAAAGAAAAGTATATGGGTCAGCTACCATTTTACTTCCTACCAAACTAAATTATGGAAATTAACTAGAAATCAGTATCTGAAAGACTGATTTGCTTTACAGCCATCTCTTCTAAATTTATCTAAACTAGACAAACACAGAAAAGCAAACAATATATAAGGCTAATGTTGCACTTACACTTTCAAAAGGAATAGAAAGTTCTACTCTAAAGTAAAAATTCCTTTTATGATTTTTTAAAAAAATATTTCAAATATACATGAAACTTTATTATTGGTCTCTTGAAAATGTAATTCATATGCTTTGTAACTATACTACATTTTTATAACTATTCTACAGTTAAAACAACATAGAAAACATATTCAGGTAAAATATTTTGGTTTTTACTCCAACATTTTCAGCAAAATCTGGCAATTTAAATGAAATGTGTTCATCTACAATTAACCAAATATAAAGTACAAATCAATATTTTTGTTCTTAGTTGCTGTTGACTCTGCTTCAACTCATAGCAAGCTTATGAATAGCAAAATGTAATGCTGCCTGGTCTTATGCCATTTTATCACAATAAGATAATCAACACTAACATCCACAATATTTATTCTAAAATATATTTGTAGAAAGCACACCTCTCTTTTTGGTCCATTTTATCCAATAAATTGAGCTACTTATTGGAAAATTTTTAATCTTTGAAACAAAAAATAAACAAGAATCTACTATCCTCTTAGCATAAAAATGGTGAATCATCACCTTCTTTAAAACATAGCATTTTGACATGACTCTTCTATAAGGAGTCCTAGTGATATAGTGGTTAAAGCACTTGGCTGCTTACCAACAGATCAGCAGTTTGAACCCACCAACTGCTCCACGGAAGAAATGTGTGGCAGTCTGCTCTAATACTTGTTGTTGCCCTGTGCTCCAAGTTATACTGACTTTCTAGCCTTAGTCTTTGCCTTGCACCCAGGTCCAAGTGCACCCTGTTCTTAGCCCTTTTCTTACAGTACTCATTTATCCTTTGTGTGTCAAAATTATGAGGCTGTTAATGTTTCCAAAGCAAGGACTTTGTCTTATGCATGCTGAATCTCCAGTCTGACAGAGTACTTTTCAAATAACCAAACCAAAACCACTGCCACTGAGTCAATTCTGACTCATGGCAACACTTTAGGACAGAGCAGAACTGCCTCATAGGGTTTCCAAGGCTGTAAATCTTTAGAAGCAGACTGCCTCATATTTCTCCCGTGGAGCATCTGGTGGATGAGAACTATCAACCTTTTCATTAGCAGTTGAATGTTTTACCACTATGCCATCAGAGCTCCTTTGTCAAATAACACACACTTAACTGGTTGGACATCTGATAAAATTACGATGCTTATGTTTGAGAAAATAACTTTTTCCTACTCTAGTCAAAGCATCTAAATGCTGACGCTGTCTTAAGCATCTTACATATAGTATCTGTGAACCTGACAGCAACTCTGCACATTTTCCCATCTTTTTAAGTTTCAAACTTAATCTTAAATATGTGAATATTAAAATAGTTAGTGATGAACCTATCATGTTTCAGTAAGTCTTAAATCCTCTATGAAAAGAGGTAGTTATTTTAATAATGATGGTAATAGTACAAGTTGGCTTGAACAGAAAAATAACCTGTCATACCTGCATCTCTCGTCTCATGGGATAGGTCCACTCCTTAAAAAAAAAAGAAAAACACAAAGATAAAAATATAAATAACATTATGCAAATGTCACCAATTAAAGGTTAATGACATGACATACAAGTGTGTGGATTTTTAAAAGTAACCCCTCCCTAGATTTCCGAGGCAGTATCTCTATGGAAGTAGATTCCCCAGTCTTCCTTCCGAGGAGTGGCTGGTGGTTTGAACTGGCAGCCTTCTGGTAAGCAATCAAATGCTTTAGGCACTACACCACCAGAGCGCTCCAAAATTATATTATGCATAGAGATAACAGATATAGTTGGCTTTGCAAACACCTGAAATTTTTAGTGTCAAGACACAAAAATTATTCTTTAATCATGTTCTTTTAGGATTTTGATTATGGATGGAATAGCTCATTAGTCATAAGAATATGCATTCAAAAAGAAAAAGAATATACATTCCAAAAGTGGCTCCCAAACAGTAATTCTCTAAAACAGAGATGTCAAATTTATTTATTTATTTATTTTGTCTTCAAGCCAACTCCAACTGACAATAGGTTCCTAGAACACTATGTGGAAAAAGACCCAGGAACAAAAGAGTTCTGTGATCAAATGAACAATCTCTGGAGTGGATGAAAGAAGAAAGAATGGTATGTGACAGGTATTTGCCAATTCCAGATGGAAAATGACAAATGCTTATCAAAAAGCCTTTTCAATATTTCAACTGGTTTTAAGATTCTGTTAAGTTCAATTCCCTTCACAGATATAGTTCACAAAAGTATGGAATTCATTCTGTCTTTAGAATGTAGACCCTTAATAGAAGTTGGAAAATAAAGCAAAATGTCAATGTCAAAAGGCAACAAATATTTTTAAATTAAGAAAAAAAGCAGTTATAGTAAATTAATATGAAGAGCCAAATATAGAACAGACAATCCTCATTTGTAAGTGAGTTACATTCAGAAAATTTCTAAGTTTACTGCTTAAGACTCAGAATTATAAATAATAATTAGGTCCCCAGAACAGTTCAGAAAAATTTTCCAAAATCTTTTTGGTTCTCTGTTCAAAGGACTCCCTTTAGTATCTCTTACAAGGTTGGTCTGGTTTTAACAAATTCCCTTAGTTTCTGCTTATCTGGAAATCTCCTAATTTCACCAT